GGTGTGTAAGGTAGAATTAATTCTTAAAAATAATAAAATGCTCTTTGTTTCAATTATTAGTTAGAATTACTAATTAAGAAATATTGAATTAGTTAATAAAATTAAAAATTTTAATGAGAAATTAAATAAGTTTTTGGGTAAATTAAGATGCTCTTTAATGTTTAGTTGCTTTAAACTAGAATATTAGTTTTAGAAGGCATCCATTTTTGACAGTTAAAATCAATGTAACCAATACTATTGCTACCAGTGTTGATGTAGTTATTCTTCAATTAAAATATCAAAATATAGTATTTTAGATTTTAGATAAATCAATATAATAAATATTGAAATATAGATTAATAATTATTCAAATTTGCATAATAAAAATGCTTAATTTGTGCAATCCAATTACAAAAAGTGGTAAGTTTATTAAGAACTATAATTAGATCATTAAATGATCATTTTCAAATTGATAATGTATTAAGTATTAATTAAATTATAAATTTGAAAATTCCATCCAATTCAAAAATAATAATTTATATATATATATAAGTTTTAAATTTAGAATAAACCTCAAGCATAAATAAATTATTCTTATCTGCTATGTTCAATATCATTATGATATCGTATCTCTAAGAATACAACCAAATATAGTATGAATGGAGGTTGTTTCGTCAAAGTATCACTCTTATGATTTAATTTCTAATATTATTAATATAATGATATTGGAGGATTGGCAATCTCATTAAATCACAATAGATATATTAATTTTATTTTTTATATTTATTATTAAGACAAGATAAATAATGATGATTAAGATAACTTAACAGGAAAATAAGAAACATATTCATAAAATTGCTTAAAATTAATTGAATTTTAAAACTTGATATATAATGTTTTATTTTTGAAATTAAATTTTGGATCATCCACCTTCATATAAATATTAGTAAAGGTTTTAAATAAGGACATGCATGTGATCTTATATTTTTGAATTTCAAATGAATTCACAACTTTAATTTTCTATAAAATTTTCAATGTGAACTTGATTCCATTTTAAATAAATATCATATATAGTTAGTTATGATAATTTCAAATTCTTATTAATTTTTGGTCCTGTTAAATATTCTAGAATTTGCTTACCAACCTAGCAAGACTGCTAATAATCTCATCATAAATTAAATTTGCTCTTTTCTATGATATTTCGTATCTCTTTTATTAATAAATAAGGCTGCTATGTAG